ACAGTTGTGGAAGTTATCCAGAAGGGGGGCTGATTGCAGTTTGGGGATGGGTTTGGCATCGCTCACTGGGTGGTGAGCAATTGTGTTGTGTGTGCAATGATTTGTTTTTTCTTGGGTGTTATCTCTCTCTTCTTTTTATTACTATTGTTATTATATTGTATTTTGTTTCAGTTGTTGGACTGTTCTTGTCTCAACCCATGAGTTTTACTATTTTTTTCCCCTTCATTCTCCTCCCCATCCACTGTGCTAGTGGGAGGAGGTGACCAGGCAGCTGTGTGATGCTTGGCTGCTGTCTGGGGTTAAACCATGACACTTGATTATTTCACTAGAGTGGAAGAGATTGCCAAATACTAGCATCCCCCTGAAAAATGCAAAGCTGTTCTGATGACTCATCTGGCAGCTACAGCAACTACTTCATATTAATACTAAGTCATAATACAAAACTTTGGAAAATTAAGGTAAAGGGAAATAGATGTTGAGACTAGAAAATGTTTCAAAAAAACCCAACCAATCAACCAACCAAACCAAACCAGACAACAAAACCAAACAAACAAACAACAAAAAACTAAACCCCAAAGCATTCAGTATTATTTATAGATTCCCTCCATTTGTCTTAGATCAGCCAGAGAAATGATTAATGCTTTCTCATTATTTTGTAACAACATTTGGAATATAAGCAATGAAAAGTAAAGAAGAAAAACCAATGTAAAAACATTTCTTCTTATTCCCTCATCAGACATCTTCAAAAGAAAATACAAAAAGCCCACAGTAAGACTTATATTCAATCAAAAGCAAGGAAAATCCCAATTAGGGCATGCATTTAGGATTTTAACTTGGTATAGATGTTCTTTTAAGAAAACTATTCTTACTGGCTCTGTTCGTACTGGTATTTAAGAAGTGCAAAGAACACGTATTTAGCTAGCTAATGTGTATTAACAGCTTAGCACAAATAAGGCAGTATGCTTCCATGATGTATTAAAAATCAGTTTGTTAAACCTCAAGCTACTTCTTGCCATTATGCTTAACGTATGTTAAAATCATACTGCCTTGTTTTCATTAGGCTGTTAATACATGTCCCCAAAGACAGCTTCACCTTAAAGCTCCCAGGAGAAAGACCTAAAGGTTTAGCTCTGTTGGCAAAGCCATCTTAAGTTGACATTCTGCTGATGTGGCTGTAACATACTTCCTGTCTCTTCACTCCCCCGGTAAACGCTCTTGGCAAAAAGATAACAAGGCCAGAGAGCTGCACCTGCACTTTGGCTACAAAGTAGTGTCACATTCAGCATCCCGTGTCCTCATGCCTTTGATTAGAGCAACAAAGGTCCAAAGCATGGACCTGATCCTGGGCACAAGAAAGTGGAGGCCAGCCTACCAGGTTGGCAGAATTACATGTGCCCCATGTCAATTCACACAGACAAATTGAGGCTTATCCTGAAAGTCTTGCTTTGGTTCATGACTTCTGACCATAGGGTAGGAAAGAAAATGCTACCTGTCTCAGTACCTGCGTGAATCCACCCTGATTTTTCTTTCCTAAATTAAAGCATTCCATAAGATTTCCCCAAATCTACAAGTTACTTTTACATGACTCAAATTTAGATTTTCAACATTAATTCCAAAAGAAAATTCCCTCCCTCTAAGGTGTGACAACGCATTAAATATACCCACTGCCCCTTTAGAAAAACAACCGGTCCCCATATAGTCATCACTTCTGTTGTGCTGTTTCTCTGGGCAACTTACTGAAGAAGAAATTTTATTCTTTCTTCTGCCTTTTTACTTGCTCAGGTGGGACAGTCACCTGGATGTCACCAGGCCAGAGACCTAGTTGGTGAGGCCTGGTGGTGCCTAGTCAGGCACCAAACCACCATCAACAGAGTATAAAAGGGGCTCTTAAGGTCCTGGTGACACATTCGCTGTGTGTACTTCCTCTGCTTTACAGCTGACTCACAGGAGAACGACCAGGCTCTCTCCAGAACAGGAAAAATAACTGCATATTATCTTTTTAAAAGCCTCATAATCCTCAGGCAACAACTGAGTAGTAACTGCAGTGACGGGCAAAATCTTTCTGCTTCATATTAATAAACCCCAACACAATATTATTGCTTGCTGCATCAGAGGCTTTTACATAAATGACCTTTTATTTCTTTTTACAATGAAACAAAGAATACATGTGTGGAAGGACTTGGATGTTAAAGACTTTGCTTAGATTTCCATTTGGTTGGCTTTTGAAATAAATAGAAAGCAAACAAAGAGTGCAAATGGGGGAAAAGCAAATAATCTCTATGTTTTAATGGTCTGACATGTCATTTTCCAGACCATTTTAGATACTTTCCAGAAGAAAGTGTCTTCTCCAAAAAAGTATCACTGTTACCTTTTTAAGGATACCAACTGCCCAGTGACAATCTTCAGAGTCACTGCTTGCCTTATGCTGACACAGGGACACACAAAGCCATGACAACAAGGGAGTGACCTGCCAATGCCAGTTATGTCTCCTGCAAATGCTTTTTCTCTAGATGGTACAATGCAATTATGAAGCATTCTGCACAGTTTCATCTTATTCCCATAAATTGCACAGACAGAAAGAGCCTTCTCCAAAATATGGCACCGCTGGAACTAAGTTACCCACTCATGTCCACTGATGTCCTTACTATGTGGAGCTTCTTATCCCTTGGGGAATGGCTGCTGGGTGATATGAATACCTCTAGATCACTTCCACAGATGGCCTGATTCCTATTTGGGTTGTAGATCAGGTCACTAACAGTTGGAACTGCAAGGTTCCTTTCCCTCAGTGACATCATGGCACTGATAGTTCTACCATGACAACAGAACACACTAGATAGGCTAGTGCATATTTGTTTGCCTGGTCCTAAACCCTCCCTTAGAACATGCATTAAGCTCCAGCCAGTACTGCCTCACCAGGTAGTCTGTCTTTGCTGGAGGACCTTAGGTAAACCAGTCAGATTTTTCTGGGTAGTTTTGTAGGGACAAACACATTCCTCCAGTGTAGCCATGAGGTTCCACTGACATGACACTGGCCTTGCACGAGCATGATGCCTTATGGGGAGCTGTAGCACAGACAGGCAGAATGGCTGAAAAGTAGAGAGCACTGAGGCCTTTAAACTACAGGTCCCATGACAGCCAGGGATAATGACGGGTAAAGAAAGTTTTTCTGCAAACTGGTTGAATTAAAAAGTAGTAGTAGTAGTAGTCTGTTTGAGCTGACTGGAAATACAGTACTTCATTTAGACCTTCCCAGAAAAATGATAAAAGATACTTCAAAAAATAATAAGAACAACAATAATAAAAGAGGTGAAAATCACACCATTCCCAAAGTTTTGGAAACCATATTTTCCATTTTAAATCATTGTAGACAGAAAATTTCAGAGAGTCTTACCCTTGCTAGCAGTTCCCAGTATTTTATCTGTAGTATCTAACAATTGGAGCTTTGCATCTCCTCTCTTCATTACCATCCTGATAATAACATCATGTACAAATGCAGGCAGATTTGAACTTCCATCAGAGAACTGTAGCAGCTGCTGAGCAGGGAGAGGATTTCATTTTTTTCTTTCTTTTAAAACAATTAAAAAGAAGTATCTGACTGTTTCTATGAAAACTGTGGACTGGACAACATCTTTTAAAACAACATTGCTGGCTGAAAACTGGCAGTCGCTCCGTCAGTATGACAGAATAATTAAAACCAGTATGACAATAATTAGCACTTCTATAGTTCTTTTCATCCATGGATATCAAAGCACTTCACAGAAACAAGTGCAGCTACCTCAATTTTTAAAGCTGAGCTTAGAAAAAAACCAAATCAGAACTTATTCTGTGTGGAAAATTTCAACAACTTCATCACTATTCATCCTAAATTAGAGAAAAGAGTTGAAATATTTTTTACAAATTTCCAAAATCAAGAATGCTTAAATAAAGTGCCATGGTTGATTAGGAAGTTTTGGTGGGTTTGATGGAACCAAACATTCAGCCATTCTGAATTTAGTGCATTTTTGGTTTTTTGAGTCTCTCAACAATACATCTACCTTTGGGAAGGGAATGCCTCCTAGGAGCTGTAGTTCATGTTTTTCCACTGAACTTGATAACTCTATTAGTTAGGCACTGCCTGTCCCCATCCTGCCCTAAGGCTGGGCCTTCCTATCCTACTGCTCTGCAGAAAAACATGATCAAACTATTCCTTACTGCCTCTACTGAGCTCCTGAATGGGAGGCACTGACTGCAGCAAGGAGGGCTGGACAATTTAGTGAAGAAGTAAATATAAAAGCCGAATAGCCCCAATAACATGCTTTAGATGCCAGTCCAACTCTCTCTATGAGTCAGTAAAGCATCCTACAGTAGATTTGACTTTTTGGGATGAGTTCTTTCAGGTCAAGCCTGTGTACAGGGAGCTGAAGGAGGGATTTTCTGCTGCAGCTGCCACCTTGGGTTTATGTCTGCAGCTGATATGGTCATCATGTCCACTTGTTTGCAGCTTACAGGGTTGTTCTTTCAAGGACTGGCCTGTCTAGAATTGGCGGGGAAGAGGAGGAAAGGTCATGATTGCTACTTACAGATGTCTCACCTCAAACTAAAGCTGCTAATATAACTTGACAGAAGGTGGGTTCATACCCAGATGCTTGCTGATATGGCACCCTTCTCTGTAGGTTGCATAGTTTTAATATCAGCAATGCCCCATGACTCCTCTCAGCTACCATGCCAGGTACGGCAAAGAGCTTCCTCTCCAGTGAGGCTGGAAATGTGCATGGGACCAGAGGGAGCCTGAATAAGCTGCTGCTTTTCTAGGAAAGCCCATTTACATTTACTGCATTTCTAGAACTGGCCTGAATGTTTCAATGCTTTACTCGTGCTCCCCTTACACACACACTGGGGCAATTTATCTTGGTGGTCCCAACTACTACGATATTGAAGGGGGGACTTTGATAACTGATCAAACAAGACTAAGCTGATTAAACTTCTGCTGTTTTCTAAGACTGTTCCTTTAATAATTTCATAGCCACAAACTGCAGGGAGACTGCAGGTTCATAAGGGAGAAATCAAGGAGAAGCAGTTAACATTGCTACTAATTTAGGTAATGTTACTAAAACCAAAGTAGATGTTTGCAGGCACAGAGCATGTGGCAACTGAACAGTATCAGGTTCGGCTGATTATTCATGATTACACATACAAGCAACCCAGTTAACTCTTTAAACCTAACCTGGTAAAACAGGATGGCCAGATGTAAACAAACATCACCCTGGGGAAAATCAGGTCAAAGTCTACCCTTACAAACATGCCCTTTTCCTGTATTTTAGTGTACTATACAGATTTTTATTTTTTTTCAAAGATGCTTCTGATACTATGTCTGACTGTAAAAACCTGACATACATTGTGGTGACTCATTCCCAGATGCTTATTGTATTAGCCATTTACATGTGTGTCAGATCTTATTACTCAACACCTGAGTTACACACATAGCACAGCTTAACCTCACTGGGTGAAACCATCCCAAACCAATTCCAGCAAACAGCCAAAGCATTATTGCATTTAAATAAATAAATATTTCTGGATAGAAGCCTAACTTGTAAAAGGCTTCTCAGGCCTATATTTCTCTACTTGCATATTTGCACAACTGAAGAAAGAAACAGGACTTTTCCCCGGGTCTACCTCTAAGCAACATACTCCATCACCTCAAATGTTGATAGCTGCAAAGGAATGGAAGACAAAGACAGAACCGCTCTGATGATGACTTGGGACTGACGACTGATCTGGCATTTTTCAGTTGTAGGACAAAGCTCCCAGACAGCTTTGTGAGTAGGGGCAGGTGGATGGGACTGCTGCTCTTGAAGGCTATCCACTCATGTGGATACAAGACATGTGTTGAAGGTAATTTGAATATCTTCCTAATTTCTAGATTTAACAAGTGCATGATGCCTGGCTCAGATGTTTAGTTCTCAGTTAAGAAACATGGAGCGGATGCTGATGCTTAGAACAATCTTTTATGTGAAATGTATACGTTCGTCTGTCAAAACATAAATAATGTACTGGGACAGTGTCACCTTGTGGTTGTTTGCTGACATAGCGGCCAGCTGAGGGGATACTCCCTGTACCTAAACCCCTCGCCCCCAAAAGCCTTCATTCAGGAATGTCGACCTTGCAAATTTCTTTTGGGGTGAAACAGGATCTCCATGATCTGTCCACTCTCCACCCTTCATGCAGATGTTAGCAGCTTTTGCACTAATGGCTCCGAAAACCCTCACAGAGGTACAAAGGCATTAAACAACTGGGACAACTCTACAACTTGCACTGGCTTCAAAAGTCTGGGAGAGAAAGATGTGTGAAGAAGGAAGCTGCCAAGTTCCTAAATGGGAGCTGTGACTTTAGGCAATAAAATTCCACTTCCCCCTTTTTGAATCTCCTGCCTTGCAAGGTAAATTCAAAGGACTGGCAGTGGATTTTGAAAGCTGTTGTATAGAAAGAGGAAAAAATACAGCTGTAATTCAAAGTGAGTACTAAAGCAAGGAAATTCAGACACCAAACTGTGCTCTTAATGGAGAACTAATGGATGTTAATTAACCACCAATTGAAAAAAACATATTTACTGTAGTTTAACAGCTCTGCAAATAAGCACAAACTCATTTACACATGTTTAAACCTTAATAAATACATTTGCAGTCATTGGCCGCTTAAGTTGATTTTCAAACTGTCCCTTATAGTAAATATAAAAGGGTGCATTTGGTTGCAAAAGTTATTACACATTAATTAAACATCAGCTCATTGCAGAAAACTAAATAAGTTAATGGCAAATGACCTCTTTCATCAATACTGGTTTATTACACAGCTATTAAGAGCTGTACACAAAAATGAAGAAAAAGCACCAAGCTTTGTCTCGTGCTGTCACCCACACCTTTGCAAAGCTCTCCCTGATAAGGGAGGGTTCCCCAGGCACTGTGCACAGGTGAGGAGGGCCAGCATGTCATGCAGTAACATTACTGCAGGCAATGCTCTAAGCAGCACGTTTCTTCAGTGCAGTAAGCATGCAACAGGATGTAGAAAACTTGTTTTGAGCAGAAGGCATGGGATGGAAGAGCGTGTGGTGACACTTAGGAGGAAAGGTGGTGTGAAGAATACTTGCAGAGTTTTCATTTTGTGAATTTATTTCATTCAATCCTGTGAGCCTGTCATTTGATTCCTTTTTCTGGCTTTCTCAGTTTGGACAATACCATCTTCTCTTCTGCTGCTACACTTGCTGTCCATTCAAAATGGTGCAAGAACTTGCTCTGCAGCTTTCACTATGATCCTGCATTCCTTCTCTTGTCCTATTCCCTTGTATATCCCGTAAGGTTGCTTCTAAACTATATCCATATATTTTGCCCTAAAAGCACTGCACTCACTTCCCAAAGGTCTGTAACAAGGGTTAAGCCTTTAATGTATGTTAAATGCTCTAAGATCCCCTCACAGGAAATTCTGGACTTAAACAAAAGATAAATACCACCTCCCTTTTGTGTACTTCTTTAAGGAACACACAGCATAAAACCAAGTCAAATGGTATTTATCCCAGTTTGCTTCATTCTCCAATGCTGTTGCAGAAGCCTCCAGTGGAGGGAGCTTAAAATAACTAAAAAAAAGCTTTTCTTTCAAGAGACTGACTTAATTAAGTCATTGTTTTGTATTTATACAAAAAAAGGAAAAAACCTCAGGAAAGGAGAAAAGGAAATAATCAGCATTCATCAAATGGGAAAAGTCCAGATCAAACGGTGAAGAAGTGTTTTCAGACTTTGAGAGAATACAAATAGTGTGAAATAGAAAACACAAATTAAATTAAGAATCATAAAATTTTCTCTGTTTGCACAGCTCAGGCAACACTGTCTGAAGCCAATTTATTACCAGGCTCCACAACAAATAAGCTCACATGATTCCCACACTAAAATAACCTTTACTCATTTCACAATAAAACAACCATAGGGGTCTGGTAAGCAAAGATGAATTATAGCTGCTTGTCAGAAATAATTATGATAATCTCTCCTACTCCCACAATATCTGAGGATTATAACCACCTTTACAGACAGCACAGCACTCTCAAATACACAATGCAACATAACAAAAGTATGTCATCAACAAGTTCTCAGATGGAGAAAGTGAGGCACAGGCAGAGGAAGTTAATTAGTCCACAGCCACAGTGTTACTCTGATCCCTGTTCCCACCTTGGCCTCAGTCCCTTGAGAGTGGAAACGATTCCACTGATTTCAGTGGACTTCTTTCGTTTTACACACTGATGTCACAATCTCAACAGATGGACAGCAGCTGCACTCAGGCTCTGTGATTATGGGCCAGTGTCCTCTTGTGCTACACAAAACAAACTGAAAGAGCCGAACAAAACAGGATTTCCCTGTCCAAGAGTTTACAAAGGAGATGAGACTGCAACCCTTTGTGTTTGACTTGGTAATTGTGCCTGTATAGGATGGATCTGTTACTATCTGGCAATCCTTCTGGATTGAGGACCTTCATGGCTGGGATGAGTCTTCTGTAATGTTGAGGGTATGTGTTGCATTCTAGTGATTGAATTTATGGAAAAGCACAGGCTGAGTTATCTCCTCCAAACTGTGCAACTTCCCCTTCAGCATAAGGGGGCAACACCCATGGTTGTGAGAACTGAAGCAAAAACCTATTTTAAGCCCTTTTGTGTGTGTTTGTCGAGGGCTTTGCCTTTGGTAGAGCCTTAGCACAACAAAATTCTGGCTGGTCCACATCAAGTTCCCTCCAGGCATCCAAAGGCTTGGCTGCAAACCCTTCTCTTAGATAACCCAGACCTTTCCTAACTGCAGCCCTACCTCACATCCAGCTTTCCTGCTGAGGCTATACCATTAAAAACCAAAAGGAAGCAGAACAATAGCAGTGCTTCCAGGAAAGTGATACCTCTGCATCTGGTGTACTTTAAAGGCACCAGGCTGTTCTGCGTTCACAAGGCACAACTCACATGATATCTGTCAGCCAAAGACATCCAAGTCAGTTGTGCCAAGCTGCCTTTTTCTTCTCAGTTACAGACAACTGTGAAGTCCCCCTCTTTTCCCAGATGTTCTTGCATGCTTCATTGCAAAAAAATAAGTGTCTGTCAAAACCACCCGTGTCCGCTCCCAGGGAAACAGTAGCCAGGGGCAAGGTGTGTGGGGGAGTGTCCTTTTTAGAATCTGCAGCCTCATTAAAGTAATTGGCATCTGGACTCGATTTTGTAAGCTCAATGCCAAAGGGGCTGATGGGGTAACTAATGCTGTGGAGTCAGAGCCAGAAACTGCATAGCAGGCTTCTGAATGTGGTCTCTGGCAAGATCTATGCAATGAAATGACATTATGGCTTTGCCATACATTACATGCAAATTAGAAGAGGTTGGCAGCCATGCAACTGGCATACCATAGCAGCAATCATCCTTACAGGATGTAGAAGGCAAGACTATTCATAGTCAACCCAGCAGAGGGGTGGGAAAGGGAAGGACAATGCTCGCACAGTACACCTGCTTGCCTCCTTTCCCCTCTGAGTGACCTAAAGGCTTTTCCCAGTGCACAGCCCCTGGTGTTCCTACCTTATTTTTCAGCCTTACCAGAAGGTATGATTTTTTTTTCCTACATCTGTCCAAAATTCCCTTCAAATGTCTGCTGTTCTCTGTCTCTGCTTCTCCCCAAGTATCCTTGCCTTAGTGCCGAATAGCTGCAGGATATGAACAACGAAATGTCTGTTTGCAGGTGCTGAGCAGTGATAGATGCAGACAGCTGGCTGGCCAGCCGGGACTTCACCTGCTTTACTGTTGATGAACTGCTCTTTCTGTACTTTAATTGCTTTTAATGTTTCCCCCATTTAGGCAGCTATCTCCTCCTCTTTAACCTTTTGTATTTCCTCTGAACTGTTTGGTCTACAGAATCTACAGCAAAGCTTCCCAAAATCACACAGCATACTCTGGTGACAGAGGACAGATGCCTCCTGGTTCCCTATTTTCAAAGTGATGAGTACTAATAATTTAGGGAGATGTTAATGAAAGGGGCACTCATTCCTGGTATTTATTGTTCTTATTGTTCTTGTGACTGCAGGGATTCACAATTTCTATGGTGTAGAGAGAAAAACTAAAGCAAAAATACACAGAAACCTAAGCCAGAGCTCTTGCTACAAGATTACAACAAACTCACCCAAAGCCAAATGTCTGCTTGATGTCAGCAACTAGGTGAGGGTGATGGCATTTCTTGTTCAAGTCCTTATGTCCTTCCAGTATAGTACTTCCATTATTATATCAGGCCGCTAAGCTTACCAGAGAGTGTCTTTCAAACAAGCAAGGTACGTTCCATTAATAAAGGATTTTAATGTGGGTAATCGAGGCTTGATAATTCCAAATATCCAGCCTGTTACCCATCAAACTTGCCCCAACACACCATGTCTCACACTGCAGGGTTTCACAAGGCGACAGTCCCAAATGGTTCCACAGGCTGAGCACAGTCAGACACGATCACATTCCAAGACTCAAGTTTGCCATTTGCAAGACAACCCAATGGGCTTTCAAACGCCCTATTCTCCACAAGACACAACTGAGGAATCTCAAGACAGAGAGAAGGAAGTAGTAAGCAGTCTTCAAAGAACTGTATTTTAGATAGTCAACATGAACGTTACCCTGTGTGTTGGATTAATGCACCTAATCATCAAAATGTTGAATCTAATACAGCTATCCTTTGTTTTCTTACTGCCTGCAGTGTTGCTGACTACAATAGAAAGCAATATTTTAGTCTAAACCAGTTTAGGTCTTTAAAGGACCTCTGGATCAAGTCCAGCTCCTTGCTACTGCAAACAATTTCATTACAGGCATTTTCAAAACCTGCAATGGGTAGCAAACCAGAGGGCTTAAAGGACTAGAGGAAAGAAATCCTGCTCCTTTCTCATGTCAGTAGGAGCACTGTTGCCTTCTGGAACAGCTAACAGAATAAGTAGTTTGGGATGCTATTTCTCAGAAACAGCTTGTGTTGTCTTCTCAAGCCCTGTTTCCAGTCTAAGGGATATCTCATTACAATACCAATGATGGGGGCAAGGAAGCAAAGTTCCTTAGATAACCTCCTCCACTTCCAACAATGTTTGTGCCTAGACATCTGTGGAAGGAAAAGGGCCCCTAAAAGGGAGCGATGATCAAAGTAAGCTTAAGTGAAGAGTTATGTTGCATTCGTGAGACTGATAAAACCAGAGATGGGGATAGCCCTTCACTAACTAAAATCAGTGTCTGTTTCCCAGTTGAGATATGTCTGTGCTGCAGAAGCCTATAAAAAGAAGTATGAAGCGCCTGAGTCTGTATTTTACCTTGTCACATTCAGAAGGCTAGAGAAGGGAACATCAAGAAGACATGACAGGCAATGGCTGAAGGAGTTAAACTCCATTTAAAAATTGGTTGAGTAGCATTTAAAGGTAATATTACTAGGATAAATACTTGTCCAGTGGTCAAGTGAGAATTCTGAATCAATCTGTGAAATTTTGTGCAAGAGTGATGCCCGTGTTGGAGTCAAGAAGGCCTGTATCTCACGTGGGGTGGAGCAGGGGTATATTAGGTGTCGGTGTTGCAAAAGGGGCACTTTGACCATTCCAAGCAGTAGGTTGCCAGA